TTGTTTTCAAAAGTAAATATACATTAGAGATTATGATTACTCTGGGGGGGAAAGCAAATATGAACATTTATAGATAAATAGAATAAAAATTAGAATTGACTCATTATAAAATATGTTTTTTTCTCCCATGATTAACTGGTAGCATATTATAGATCAATTATAATTTATTCTTTTGTAACATACTCTTTTTTTTTTTTTTTTTTTGAGACGGAGTCTCGCTCTGTCGCCCAGGCTGGAGTGCAGTGGCCGGATCTCAGCTCACTGCAAGCTCCGCCTCCTGGGTTCACGCCATTCTCCTGCCTCGGCCTCCCGAGTAGCTGGGACTACAGGCGCCCGCCACCTCGCCCGGCTAGTTTTTTGTGTTTTTTTTGGTAGAGACGGGGTTTCACCGCGTTAGTCAGGATGGTCTCGATCTCCTGACCTCGTGATCCGCCCGTCTCGGCCTCCCAAAGTGCTGGGATTACAGGCTTGAGCCACCGCGCCCGGCCGTAACATACTCTTAAATAGAAATCTGTCAAATGGACTTTATATATGAGTCTTGAATTTCATGAGACTCCTCTATCTTGTGAAACTACATCACAAGAGAATACAATTTATTTATAATTGACAACACTACACTTGAAATTATTTAAGTTGATTTTTTTGGCCTTGCCAGCTATATACACTAAAGCTTGTCATCTTCATTGTCTTATAGTATATAATAGTAAGAATGGTGACAATAATTAGCACTTATTGAGCACAAACTGCCTATCTCTGTCTGGTTTTACAGTCAGTGTGTTTTCCATGCTGTCATTAAGCAACTCATAAATACACTAAATCCTCTGGTGAATCTGGAGTGAACAGAATGCTTCTTTACTCACCTTCCAAAGTTAAGAATACATACTTTATTAAAGAGTGTTCTGAAATGGCATCTTTAATTACAATCCTACATTTGCTTCTCTTATAATTCGACACAGCGTGTGGAAGTTGAAGTAATCTCTCAACCAGAGAAAAACAATTACACTCAAAGAGAATTAATGCCTTTAAAAGCTTTGTCCTACTCAGATTCACCATAGTCAAATTAACTTTATAGAAACTTCGGTTGTTTTTTAAAAAATAACAATTGTTGTTTAACTGAATAGGAGCATAGGTAAGATGTAAGAAGTTAGAAGAATACTACACATTTCACATTAGTGAATTTTACTATACTTCCCATAGCAGTTTATGTCATTGTAAGATACATAAATGAAACGAAAGAAAGCCTTAAAATGCTGAAGGAGTACATTCAAAATTATTTACTATCAGATGCAGCTAATTGTCTCTACATCTAGGAAAGTCAAAGTCATGCATTAACTGAGGAAAACAAATTACTGAAGAATCTGAGAACTAGATTTGGAAAAAAAAAAAATGTGTCTGATTTTAACCCACATTTCTATTTAATCTAATAAAATTTCACCCAATTTCTATTTAATCTCACACTGGAAAGTAGTGATATAACCTAAGCAATCCAGAATTTGTATTGTTCACTGACATTTATTTTTAAGACTCTTCTCTAAGTTATAAAGCAATATAAAAAGCTCGTGTTGGAGAAGAACATCTAAAGGATTTGGAGTGAAAGGAACAATGAGACAAAATTAAGCACATTTGAGAGCAATGGAAAACAGCTACTAACACATATGCCAGGAAAGTATTGTCTTTTTTAAAAAATCAAACTGTTGAGAAGTAACACTTTAAAACTGTGGTTTGTTTCCATGATGATTTCAAATATAAGCCACCAAAAACTTCCATAAATTGTCTGTACGTAGGGACCAATAATTCTGTCCAAACTAATTTGCAAAATTCACCCTAGAACATGTTTTTCAATTGAGAAAGTATTTTCATTGTTTGGAACTGTGATATAGAAAGTCATTCCTTTTATTATTTAGAATTGAGAATACATACATTGGAAAAGAAGAAGGAATACTTTATTGTTCTTAAAATGTCATTACATTTAATATTAGTGTAAATCAAAGAACATATTGCTTTTCTTATTTTCCCTCTACCAAACAAAATTACTGATGTTAACAAGTTAGGACACTTAGTAAGATAGGTTATATACACACACATACACACACACACACACACACACATATATATATTTATATATGTAGTTTTCAGTCTACTCCATCTGGACTGTAATTTGCTACATCTGGTCAAGAAGATCAACCTACAAATATTTAACCTCTACTTATACAAACAGGAAATATTTAATTGAGTGCTTACTAGGAAATGCTTGTTCTAGGTTTTTTACAGGCTTTATCTAATTTCACCTCAGTGACTCTTAAAAGATACATGAACTCTTAAAAGATACATTATTCACCCCATCTTCTATAAAACTTGGGGCCAGGGAGTTTAAGGAACTTGTCCTCGTTTGTACACCTAAAAAATAAGTACTGTGGTGATGCTTGTGTTCTTACTTATAGTTGTATAACTCCAAAATCTATAGCTATAGTATTTATTTTCCTACAACTTCTTCCAATTAATGCTTAGAGATCCCCTATGTAGTTTCTATGCATTTGCAATTAAAATCCATTCTTGTATCTCTTACATGACCCTTTAATTGCTTAATATCTTTATGTAATTTTTTTGGTTTAGGCCGAGGTGGCCTTTTTTTTTTTTTTTTTTTTTTTAAGTTTGTGGACTTTTTTTTCTTTTTTAAGTTTGGCGTCTCTGAAACTAAGGTAGAATTATAGATCTTAGAATTGGAAGTAAGGATGAAGGGCATCCATTTGATAAACAGATCTTTTCTAATGACCATTCAATCAGGGCCTGAACATATCCAGTGACAGAGCCCTTGCCTCTGGCAGCAGCCCATTTCCATCCTCACACAACTCAGAGTGCCTGAAATTTCAGTCTTTTGACTCTGCGTAGTGTAGCATCGATCAGTTGTAATCTTTGGGGTGCCAATGAAATGAATGTTATGTCTTTTTTTTTTCTTTCTTTCTCTTTCATTTTCTTTCT